ATCTTTCTTCTATCATTGACAGTCCCTCTAGGTTGTGGGCTGCTTGCCTGTGTTCCTGAGAAGCATCTACGGTACCAGTCTATAGAGTGTGTTTTCTTTAGTGAATTACCGGTATGTTTACCGGTAACAAACTTGCACTGTTTTATGTATATGTTTGATTACATACAGCCTTGTGACAGTTTTCCTGCATGTCATAAGCATTTGAATATAAATGAAAATGTTAAAATCAAATCTGATATTGTTTTACCTTTTATTTGGTGTGTGGAAGGTGTGCGGAAGAAGGGGTAGTCTTATACGGCGAGTATATAACAAACTCTGTATTTTGAGTGGAAATGTTAGGGGGTCGTCTTATACGCCCAGTCGTCTTATACGCCGGCAAATAACATACTCCTCCTCTCGCATGTCCCACCTCAAACATCTCTGTCCCAGGAAGAATTTCTGTCTGTAACCTCCCCACCCACTGCCATAGCCAGGAAGCTTTCCTTGGTAATATCTATGCCCCTGTTTGCCTCAGCATTGACCTCCATTTGATTATATAATTATTACTGTACTTCTTGAACTAAGACCTCCTCCACTAGATTGAAAGGGAGCAGGAGTGTGCCTGGTTTTGCACATTTTGTGCACAGGGTCTTGGCCCCACATATAGCCTTTAGTAAGTGCTCAATAAATCTCAATCCAGCTTTTTAAAGTGGATTGTATGAAGTCAAATCTTGCTAAATGTGAATAGATAGAAACTGGACTAAAAAGCTCAAAGTAAAAAAAAAAAAGTAGGGATGAGGCTCAAATATCTACTCAAGAAATAAATAGCATTTAACAAACCAGGGCTACAGGTTTTCCTCTTCTTCTTTCAAACCAGAGGTACTATTAAGGGTGCTGATAGGTTTGGAGGGTTATTTATTTATTTATTTTTGTCTGAAAGGCTGACACTTTTGTTAGAAGAACAACTGAACCATGTAATTGGCCTACACAAACCATTGCCATGAATATTGCTTTAAATTGAAGTCATTTAAAAGACAGACTTGGAAATGGCTTTTCCATGTGTGCGCATTTCTGTGTTAATAAAACCCACACGGCAGAGGTGACAATGGGAAAATAGAGTCTGCAAGTTATTTTTGAAAATGTCTGTTGGCAGAGAGAAAAGGATGGTTCCTTTATAGGAACAACAAAACAAAAAGTCAAGTAGATATGAACAGCTATACTGAGAGAGGGTGAATTTATTGCATGAGTCTGAGGTCTCGTGAAAGGATTTTACCTTCGCGAGCACGGAAATGAAATCCATGGGTGGTGAAGTCTCAGAGGCATCGAAGTAGTCCTTGATGATGGCAAAAAGACTGCTCGCAAAACCATAGCTTGTCTAGGGCCAGAGAGAAAGGAAACAAGAGTAGGCACACACCCAAGGGAAGGAATAAATATTTGATGAACTTCAAATATCAGTCTACAGCTGTTTCTCATTACAATTTACCTCCTGGCAAAATTCTGATTTATTTTCCTTTTCAATATATATTTTCTTATAAGTTTTTTTATATAAATAAATTCTTTTTGGAATCTCTCTTCTCTTCCTTTTGGAGGAAAGATATTATTGATTAATAATATATGAGGAAAGGACATTCATTTGAGAACAAACATTTATGAAGGTTAAGAAGATCTTGAGAATATGTTTACTTTCTTAAACAGCCAAGTTAAAATGAAAAATGCTACTGAAGGCTGATATATGTGATCTATTGGCAAGATATCAATGAATGTTTAGATTTCCTTCTTATTTACCTGACCTCCTGACCAAACATTATGTGGGGGAACGAACCACGTTCTGTATTGCAGCGTGGAATACAAGCCACAAGAATAGAACAAACATGCATTTTCATGACCCCTCTGGTGAATTTCAAAACATGTCTCCTGATGTCTTTCTACTTTGGCTCACCTGACTTAACTCCTCCAGGTTTGCAAAAAGGCGCCATGAATCCACATCCAGGAGATATTCATAGGTTTGTAGATATTTTAGTGTATTCATAAAGATCTTTAAAAAAAAAAAGAAATGCAGATTACTTTCTGTTTTCAGTTTTGAAACTTGCCCTTTTCAAGAGCATTGAACATAAACCTCCTGACTACAACTTTACAAAACAGTTTAGAAATCAGTATTTTTGAGGTTTCAGAATTTTCCTAAATACCAATGGTGACATTTAAGCTCCATGGAACATGTGGGAACTGTGCTCTTCTGCATGACGGTGTTGTTGCTGATATGCAGCATGACAACAGTCCTGCAGCACATCCTCTGTTCTAATGGGCTTTTTCTGCCTCCCGGAGTCAAGAAATCTCACAGGTTCTCTTCTTATCAAGAGTACTAATGTGAGACCAAAACAACTTCCATGCTGGATTCTCATTTATACCTTCCTCTGCAAAAGATCCAAATGTCTTTTACTTGCAGGAAATGAAAAAAAGAGAACGAATGAGTCAATATCTGTAACTGGTAGGATGCTTGCATTTGGATAAAGGCATTAACTGTGACTGAAAGCATCCAGGGAGCCTCTGTGCTATTGTTTCTTGACTTGATGCTTTCATCCAGCAGGAGGCTACTCTACAGCAAGTCAAGGAAGAACTACAATCCTCACAGATAATCTTCCCTGCCTCTATAAGCTAAACAAAGATCAACGTATTGACAGAAGAATGCTTTGCAAAAAATAATGACTGACATTTGTATGTCACTTGGTAGATTGCAAAGAAAACTAATCTGATGATCACAAAGCTGAGATGCCATGAGACAGCCAGAGATGGTATTGCCATCCTTCTTTTAGAGCTTAGGAAAGGGAATGTCAAATGACAGCCTGCGGGGTAGATCAGGCCTGCTACCTGCTTCCATAAATAATGTTGATTACAATCGCTCCCTTGCCATCCTTGCCCTGTGGTTCTTCTATGAGGATTCTTTGCTCAGAACCTCACCAGATCTGGCTGCAGCATGGCACTCCCTCAGGGACACCATTTACCTGGTAGACATTAAGAATATACCACGTCATGCAGCCCCACTGTGTTACATGTGGGTGGCTGCCTGGAAATCTGTGACAGTGGCCCTGCAGCTGATAAAACACATGCTCCCAGCACTGCTCAGGGGGAGCAAGTGCTTGGAAAGTGGAAGCTGACCAGCGGTGATGGTGGTGGTGGTGTGTGTGGGGGGGTGGTGTTCCTGCAGGGTGGATCTGCGCTCCCTGACTGGAGAGGCGTGTAAGCAAGTGTAAGCACATGGTGAGAATAGGTAGAGGCAAGTCAGACATCAGATGGGCAGCTGGACTAGTTTACTTAGAAGACTTCCTCCAATCCTGGCAGACTATGTTTAAGAAAAGAATGAAGAGACAACCAAGTAGTAGATAAACAGTAGACATTTTTTTAAGATCTCCTAAAAGAGGGGACCTCCACCCCCAACTTCCTGTTTTCCATGTGGAAGAGAAAAACAAATTCCCCCCAAATCAAAATAATATTTTCCATTTATTGCAAAAAGCGAGCCCAGCATTACCATCTTAAGAACTAACAAATGGTCCAAGAAGTAAGTGCATTCGCTCGCGAAAAGTTCCCACACGGCCTCTTGCTGCTTTCTCAAGTCTACTTGATCAGTAGGAAGTTTCCGATGTGTTGCCATGACTTCATTCCAGGTCTTACCCTGCGCATGGGAGGAGAGAAGGAACAAAACTTTTCCACCTTGACCTGCTCTCCATTAGCTCTGAGCTGCACTAAGTACGGCAAGAACATGCATGCATGCCTGAAATCCTAGTTTCCTGTGCAGTCCCGGGCATGCCTGTCGGCAGTGGCTCCGCCAGCTGCCCAAACCGCAGTTCTGTCTGTGTGGCTTTGGGATGCATGACATACGTTATTTTTAGCTCCAATAAGAAGGAGTTCACATTGATGTTGTTTTGCCTTATGCTTGAGAATTTCATGAGCCTTTTTCAGTTTATTTCAAAAAAAAAAAAACCTCAAAGAACCCCAAACTTAGAACTGGGAGGTCTGGTCCAGGCTTCCCTGCTAAAGCTTATTGAAATTAACTACATGAAATGAGAATTTTAAAGTTTATAGCGACCTTTAGAAATGGTCAGCTCAACAACAAGCTATCTTTTAAACGAGAAAATTAGTCCCTGAGGCGAATGAGTAACCACTGTGAACATGTGGACAGGCCTCTGGCATCCACGGTTTTTGTTAAGATGAAATGACTTTCCTGTGGGCATTAGAGAGGGCAGACCCAATTCAGCCCAGCTCTGGGCTTCTCTCCCGGACTTCATTGTTATACAAACAAAGACAACAAAATAGTGACTAAACCAAGGGAAAAAGCCATGTCACTCAGGAAGCAGCTTGTGAGATACCTTAAGGCTGTGGAATTCGTAGCCCCCGAAGTCTGTAATCTTCACGGAGGAGAGGCGTTGTTCCAGATCAGATATGTGCTTGTGCTTGTCTTTGCCCTGCTTAAGGATGGTTAGAAACAGGATTTTCAAACAGGAATTCTTCAACGACATGACTTAAGTAGCATCTTCCATACGTTCATTGTTTAACATGCATGAGAAGAGACTGTACCTTTTGTCTATAAGCCACTATCAGTTGCAAAGCCATTTCCCAGCCATAGTCTAACTCACAGGACCATGGAATGTCCCATCTGGAGGACAGAGGCTGGTGAGGATGTCTGACCCAAACCTTTCATATTACTAATAAAAAAATAATCCAAGGCTTGGAATAGTTATATAGTAAATAGATGAACTCCGGGTCTCACACCCACCCTGTGGGGTGATGTAATGTTTTTCACAGTTCTTACTTTTCCAAACCTGGGGTTATAGGACTTTAGCATCAGAAGGTTACTCAGAGGCTTTAACTCACCCCTCAGTTAGCAGATGACTGGGCAAAGCCCAGAGTGCTGAAGGAACTGCCCAACACGATAATTCTCTGCTAAAGAATACTAGGATATGCTAGAAACTCGTCTCTTTGGTATGAAACAACCCACTTATTTGTTATTGTTTTTGTTTTTTAATAATATTTGTTTTAAAAAATCTGATTACAAAGCTAATAATTTGAGAAACCAAGAAAAACACAAAGACAATCTAAGTTACCTATAATCTTCACCCCCAGAGAACCACTGAAAACCTTCTTCTGATTGTAATTATAATTGTTTTTTAACGGTGTCATATTTGGACATCATTTCATAACTTGCTTTCTACACTTAATAGATTGTGACTTTTTTTTTGACTTGTTCACTACTCTGTTGCAAGATCATAAGTTATCCACTTAAAAAAATTCATTTTACTGCTCATAACAGGGAGAAGCTTTCAAAAGAAGTGAAAGGCTCCCTAAAGGAAACTTGGCTGCTTTTGAAATGAATGTTTATCACAAATAGCTTTTATACTTGTTCTATTGTCTCCAGGTCATGATACTTTATGTTAATGAGCAGGAGAACACAGAGGTTATCAGTTAGGCGGCTCCCTGTGTGTCTGAGAGGAGACCCTATTGTTTCAGAATGTGCGGATGGGCTGTGGCTGGTTTCCCTAGTAGGGTTATGGCACTGAGAGAGAAAATCTATTAGAGACTCCTTAGCTTCAAAGTAGCAAAGAAATCTTGGAGCGGGTTGGGGACCGCCTACAGCAACTGGGACATATGCCTTTTGGTGATGTCTGAAACCATAGCGACTGCATGTTGCGGAAATAAAAACAGCAGCTGCCTGTTGGGAAAGAAAGAGGCCGAGACAATGGGAGCAGCATCAGAGCTGTGGGAAGGTGGGCACCAGCCTCTCGTGAGGGCACTCGCTGTGGCTTTCCATGGATCCGACCAGCCTCCTGACCAAGTGCTTGGTGGATACCAGTGAGAAGGGAGGGGACAGTCCTCCCAGAGGCCACATTTGCTCTGTAGAGTAGCAGACATCTGGTGGCATTGGCAAGGAGAAGTCATGAGAAGAGTTTGAAGGGCATTTGAGAGGATACAGAACATGAAGAGAAAGATCCAAGAGTCCCAAATTCTAGAGTCCCAGAGTTAATAAGTAAGAGCTGTCTGGAATGAAAATTTGCAGTAGGAACCAAGGATGTGGACCTGGAGCAAAATAAATAGATGTGATATGTGAGCGTGAATATACACATTTCAGTGGTTGACAAAGAGATGGCATTGAATCTGTGAGAACAGGCAAGATCCATGAGAGCCCTGATGAGGGAGAGGAGGCCAGAGTGTCCAGGTCTGGTTATGGAGCCACACATTTGCAGACAATTCAATGTTGGAACTGAAACAGACTCGGAGCCAGAGGTCCTGGGACTCCTGGGGACCAGTCCCACTGTGCTGCTTGTAAGCTGTGTGACCCCAGGCAAGCTCTTCAACCTCTCTGAACCTCGGTTTCTCCATTTGCAAAATGGGGATAATAATGTCACCTGCCTTGTTGGGCTGTTGTGAGAATTAATGAGTTGACATATATAAACTATGACATACATAAATAGGAACACACATAAACGGTTACGGTGCCTGATAACGTAAACATATCTGTGTTTGCTTTTATTACTAATATTCATTTGAAAAGAAGGAGAGAAGAAAGGAAGGTAAGAAAAGAGAAAATGTGTAATATATTAAGAAAAATACATTCTAATGTAGCAGTGTGTTTATTATATTTATGTGGATTAGCATTTATATAGCTATGAATTACGTGATAAATAAGACTAAAAGAATGAAGGAGCAAGTAGAAATATTAATTTAAAGGAGACCAGATACTAGGTCCTTATGAAAGTGAGCCTTTGAGATATGAATTTCCCTTCATTAGTGAGAACATTTGCTGAAACATTTTATCATCCCCCTAATTATTCTGTCTGTGTATCTCCACCACTGCCTACCCACCTCCAACATTGTGCACGCCATTATTACACTTTCCCCCTCAATGTACATGGCAGTCCGACCTTCCTAATGAGGAGCTGATAATGGGCCCCTCAGCATCCTAGAAGTCTAGCCCAGTGTTTGACACATACAGCCACCCAACAAATCACTTCTTCATGGAGAAAAAGACATTGGTTACAACTTGTAACCTTCCGCAGGTACGTCCTCCCTTCTGGGAGCACATTCTGCCTCCCAGGCAGCCCTTAGAACGGCCAGTTTGAAATCAATAAAACGAGCACCTTCCTTCTTAGCTTCAGGAGAGCTTGTGGGAGATTCCCCTTCTCCTGAGACCCCAGACCTGACTGGTAGCTGGCCCTGCCTCCATTTAAATGAGAAGCAGGCCAGGAAAGCTTATACCATAGGCCCTGCCTCAGACCTGCCAGGAAAACAGTCAAATCAGGTCCCTAAAGAGGGGCACAGTGGGAATGAACAGGAGAAACAGCTTTAGTGACAATGGTGTAAAACTTTACTAGCTCATGTTGAGACTGTCCCTAAGGCTGGTTGTTTCTGTCCCTCCCCTCAAGTCATCTGTGAAAGCCCTAATCCCCCAGTGTGATGGTATTTGGAGATAGGACCTTTGGGAAGTAACTGGGTGTGGATGAGGTCATGAGGGCTTGTAACGACACTAACCCCCTCCATGAAGTTAGTGAGGAGGCACTGGAGCTCTATCTACATTATGTGAGGACACAGTGAGAAGACAACCCCCTATAAGCTACGAAGAGAGTTCTCCCCAAAACCTCTGACCATGCTGGCCCCTTGATCTTGGGCTTCCCAGTCTCCACAACTGTGATAAGTAATCATGGTTGCTTAAGCCATCCAGCCTGTGGTATTTTGTTACAGCAGCCAGAGTTGACTGAGACGTTCATACAAATGTTTGATGCTTGGAAAAATAATGTGAAAGTCACTCATATACTTGCTTATGAGAACAAGTAGTTTTCCAAACCCCCAATTACAAATGAAACTACCAATATTATGGCCAATATTGATAGAGTGTTTAAGACCTGCCCAGCTCTGGGATAAGCCCACATGCATTATTTGATTTGCTCATCACAACCCTGGAGGCTGGCGTGATCACCATCCAGCTTTCATAGGGAGGCACCTGAAGCTGAAGGAGGTTGATTCACTTGGCCAAGGTCACAGAATAGTAAGTGGAGCAGCTGGGATTGGAACCTCAGAGAGCTTTGAATTTAGCTACGGTACTTCAAGATGGTATTGCAACTGGTACTGTTGTTAGAACAGAATCAGTCCTTCCCCGCCCTACAAAACCAGGAGTGAGGCGTGAGGTTGCAGTCAGGAATG